ATTTATGTTTCTTTATTCCGAAGGCGAATAGCGATAAGGTTAGACCTATCAGTATGTCCTCATGTCTTTTGAAGTTAATGGAAAAAATTCTAAACGAGAGGTTACTGTGGTGGTTGGAGCATAATCAAATTATACATGACACTCAGTTTGGTTTCAGGATGAATAGATCTTGTATAGACAGTTTAGCTGCACTGATTTCAGACATCCATAAACAATTTTATAGAAAAGAACATTTAGCAGCTGTCTTTATAGATATTAAGGGAGCATACGATAATGTTAACCCTGAAATCATGCTTAACTATTTGTTGGAACTTAAAATGCCTAGATCTTTTATTATTTTTATTCATAATTTGATATCGGAAAGGAATATTCATTTCATCAACATTCCAGGCGACATTTCTCGCTATACATTCAAAGGCCTTCCTCAGGGAAGTGTTCTCAGTCCTACCTTGTTCTCTTTGTACATCAACAACCTGGAAAAAGTAATCTTGCCAGAAGTAAAAATTCTGAAATTTGCTGATGATCTAGCGATTTATTCCTCTGGCTCCTCCATTGACAGTAGCTTAAAGCGTTTGGAACAACAAACGGAAATTATTTCCGAGGAGCTTTCCAATAGAGATCTGGAATTATCTCCGGACAAGTGTAAACTTGTAATTTTTAATAGCTCAAATGTTAAGATTGGAGGATATAAAATTGTTATATCTAACACTACTATTACTCCATCCTCTCACGTTAAATTTCTCGGAATGGTATTGGATAAGCAACTTAATTGGAACCTACATATCAAATATATTATTCAAAAGTGCGACGTTCCAATAAGAATTCTTTGTTGTATAAGAAGAACTTGGTGGGGGGCGGATCCCTGTACTATGTTAGTCCTATATAAATCATTAATAAGATCAAGGATTGAATATGGTGGTTTTTTAATTTCGCCCTGCAATCCAAATCAATTTTATAAACTCGAGAAAATACAGCTCAAATGCCTCCGACTAGCAATGGGGTATATGAATTCGACTCCCACCAATGTGATAACGGAGGAATCTAAGGTTCTACTGTTGGAATATCGATTTGAACTGCTGTGCATTAAATATCTTCTAAGAAGTCTGGGTCGTGACTATCTTTCGTTGCTAGATTGTCTTGAGGAGATTAAGGACCTAGCGGAACACCCTTTGTATTCTAACAACTTTAACAAATCTACGCTAGTGTACAAATATGAGGAAATCGGGAGTTCTGCTAATATTATCTATAGGTCTTCAATTAACATATACCATACTTTAGACTTTAAGAATCAATTAGCTGATATTAATATAGATCTCTTAAGCGGCGAGAGCATGATAGATGCAAATAATGCTAATGCGTTGTTTCAGGATACTTTTTATTCTAAACTGCCCACTTTTACCTTTATCTTTACGGATGGCTCAGTAACGTCTCGGACAGACGATGGCGCAATGGTTGGAGTGGCCAGTTGGTCCGCTAATGAGCAATTTACCGCTAGCTACAAAATTTATGATTTAGGCTCTATTTTCACAGCTGAAGCTACAGCTCTCCACCAAGTTCTTAAATTAATATTGAGTGCAGAAGTCAGTAATTTTCTGATTTTCTTAGACTGCAAAAGTATTCTGAAAGCTATAGCTAACGGAAGAAATCTTAGACACCAGTCATATTTAATTCAAGAAATATATGAGTTACTAATTAAGTGTAAGGAAAAGAATAAAGTGATTCAATTGGTCTGGATTCCTTCCCATTGTGGCATCGCTGGTAACGAGATGGTGGATGGGCTGGCTAAACAGGCTGCTCGTGAAGGCACCTTTTTAGACCAGGCTCTCCCCCATTCTGACGTTGTCTGTAAATTCAAGGCTCAATTAATAGCAAAGAATAGGAACGCCTTAAATATGAAAGCTACAAGAGGTCTGAAACAAAGGTCTGTTATATTTTCAATTGTTTAAAAGTGTGTCACCGAAACCGTGGTTTCATAAACTTAATTTAAGTAGGAAGGCTATTGTCTCAATTAATAGAATACGCAGTGGGCACTGCTCACTAAAGAGTAGCCTTTTTAAGTACAAAATTGTTAAGGATGATGTTTGTTCTTGCGGTCGAGATTCAGAGAACATGGAGCATGTTTTCTGGTATTGCAATAAATACGATAAGGAGCGTACATATATGGTTAAGAAGTTTAATGAAAAAAGAATAAGTACTCCGTTTGATATCAAAGGGATTTTCAAAACGGATAATTTGGAAGTGTTAGAAATTGTGATTGATTTTATTATAAGAACTAATATTCAGATTTAATGTATTCAGTGTTAATTTACTTGTATTACTATTGTAAGTGTCTAATAATTAAAAGGAGCAAATAGCTCATTGTCATAATCTGTAGGAATGTTTCGAAATTTTTAAAGGTACTGTACGAGTTGAGATGTAAATCTAGACATAGCACTCTTTTAAACTGGTACACTAACTGTTTTACCTAGATATGATAATACGATCTGTGATACTATGTTTTAGCGTGATTTTGTAAGATGGCTGTATACTTCATGTGAAGCCAATAAACGAATATACTACTACTACACAGCCGAAAGAGCTGAGGCCGGCCCACTGATATGTATAACTACTGGATAGTGAATGTTGCCGCTTTCCCTATGGGTAAGCGAATCTGGAGGATCTGTGCCCCGACGGAGTGATGTGCAATCCGTGGGAATAAAGTCACGCATGCGCATTAGGCAAACACATGGCCGCCTTAGTAAAGTATGCATTTCGGTAAATTTAAGGTACCGTTGGGCCCTCAAGAAGGAAGGAGTGCGAAGGAGTTTCAGAGAGGGAATATTATATTCTATTTGTTTCTATGAAACAAATAGAATATAATTAATATAAATAATAATAACGAGATGTATTTATTTATAATTATTTTACGTCTGCAGCCGATTTTATTACATGAATACCAACATTCGTTGCGAGGATAAGGAAAACTGCAGAAAACCTTACCAATATTCTAACAAAACCATGGATATAAAATATAATACATATAATCATATAATACTTAAATATTAGTACAACATACATGAATATGAATACAATACATAATACAATTACAAGATCTTTTCTTTTCCTCGATGCAACTTGTTGACGGCTGATTTGATGAATCCATTTACGCTGCTCTTAAGCTGTATTATTAAATATCTAAAATAATAAAATATGTGTAACTTTATTTGCACAATATAACATACACACACATTGATTAAAAATTCCATATTATAATATTTCCAACAATTATAAAGCAAAAATGTGCAAATGAAAATCAGTACAATGATAGACATAGACAATGAGTAACAGAAAATTATGAAGTCAGATAGTTATGCTACATAGAAATTTAATACGTAAACATATTTAATTTGTATATTTTAGGTTATATAACTATTAAATTTAAATAAATATAAAATTAATGCCAATGTGAGCAAACACTATTTGTTCGTGTGAATTATAAGTAACTTTATTAAAAATAGTGTTGGCTCACATTGGCATTTTACATTTATTTAGATTTAATCTCTTGAGTCTTTGTTTTTATAGAATTGATAACTATTAAATATATTATCATTATTTTATTACGCTAATTTTCATTTATTCATTTTTGCTTTTTGTTGCACATTGATTACCTACCTCTCGCAAAAAATGCGTGAAAATTATATAGATCCTCTTTGGACACAAATCAACAGATGCTCAGGCAGCTCGGGGCACTCGAAATAGTTGGGATAGATACGTTTATGAAAGCAGACGACATGAGACTGTGACGTCAGTATACGCATGCGCACGAACGCTCTCGTGTGGGGAAAATCCCACGGATTGCACATCACTGCGGCCGACCACCCCCGACTTTTATCGAAGTTGCCCGAAGCTGCCCGAAGCGTCACAAACGCTGATATGTGTTTTACTGATTACTGATATGTAAAAATGCCGTTAGCTTGTTGCATTTGCAGCAGACGTGCTGCAATAAGTGTTCCAGAAATGGGAAAAGTGCGAAGCTTACACAGGTATATACCGAAACATGAATAATCTTTACAGGTTATGTTACTTGTATACATATTGTATATGATGTACTGTTTTTATTAACTGAAACTGCATTCTTTTATGTATATCATTATGTAGGTTACCTATAAACAAGCCCGAATTGCTGGATAAATGGCTTAAAAACATGAAAATGAAAATTAATTTTCAACCTTCTTCAAAAATGAGAAAATGCTCTGAGCATTTTCTTGATGAATGTATTATTGTCAAGAACTCAAATCGAATGTTAAAATCGGATAGTATCCCAGTGAACAATAAGTCGTCTTTAAGACGCCTAAAAGACGTCATAAAATTCTGTAGGACGTCCGAAAAATTTACTAAAAGTCGTCTTTAAGGCGTCTTATGTCTGTCTTTTAGTAGTCTTATTACACGTCTGTCAGACGTCATATTAGACATATTTTAGACATTTTGATGGATGTCTCTCAGACATTCCTTATAATGGTCTATAAGACGTCTTTGAGACATTCTACAATGTCATTGTTCAGACATTTTTCAGATTAATTTTGGACATTACGATTTTTCTGGATTAAATTAGGTTATATTGACAGAGTTTCGATATACACACACACACACACACACACACCGCCAGTACTATGAAAATCTAATATTATCTAATATTATCTAATATTATCTAATATTATCTTATTCTTGCTCTTCAAAATGTCTTAAACAGATATGTCCAAAAGATATCTTAAAAAAGATGTCTTTATAGGATTTGACTAAAAGTCGTCTTTAAGATATTTTTTTGTAAAATCTTAAAGTCGTCCTGGAAAGGACGTCCAAAAGACGTCTTAAAAAGAATTGTCTTTAGGACTTGTCTAAAAGTTATCTTAAAGATGTCTTTTTGTAAACGTCTTAAAGTCGTTTTTTTTAAGACGTCTTTCGGATTGTCTGTTAGACATTCATGTTCACTGGGTATTCCAACAATTTCTATGGAACAACTTCGTCAGTGTTCTTATTGCAAGCTACACAACTTAAATTTAAATGCACAATCCTTACATAAGTAAGTAATACCCGTTTATGTTATGAATATATATATATATTACAGTTGACATTTTGTAATAAAAATAAGAAACTTCCTGATCAGTACGAGACGTATGCAATTTTTAGACCGTTTTAGAAATATCGTGGATATGAAATGTTTTGTAACATTCGATACTTTTCATGCTAGTCAGGTCGTCATTACATGTTATAATTTCAAATACAATTTACAATTCAAATAACATAAATGTTACAATGTAAAAAACGTATTGCCGAATATATCTGTATCGTTCATTGCAATATTCTTAATTGTGCTTTATATGTACTTGCATTTGTTTTGTATTAATACAGATATGGGAAAGTTCATTATTTGATCACTTAAGGAACAATGATCTCCGATCCAGACCTGCATCATGAAATTATACATATAAAGACATAATTGTACAAATGTAAATCGTGATTTTTATATAATTAATATAAAATGTGTGTATAAAGACTATATTAATAAAATATGTTTTATACAAATGTGTAATAAAATTAAATAAAATAAAATAAAAAATAGGTTTTAGAGTCAAGTTTTACGCCAGGTATTGTTACCAGATTAATTAATTCTCCAAAACTGTTTCCCTTCAATTGTAATTGTTATTAATTTTTGTACGTTTATTATATTGTACATGTTTATTTTATTTTATTTGTTACGAAAAATACATTAGAAAAAATTGAAAATCCTAACATATCATTAAAATGAAAAGGTCAAGCCATGTTCAAAAATAGATCCTCGCAAATTAAAAAACCCAACAAATTTAAACCTTTGAAAACTAACCGCAAAAATTTGATCCTTCCTAAATTAAAACGATTATCTAATATAATATATGATGACCACGAAAAGTAACTGATATATTACTAAATGTGCCAGTTCAAAGTGAACGTACATATAACGAATATTTTCTATGTTGAATA